ACCCTGTTGCTATCTATAAATGCATTTTAAATATATCAAACTTAAACAGACACATTCCTACATCCATAAAGGCATTCACTCCTAATAGTTAACTAGGGATGACAGAGTGACTCATCTAAATTCTCAAGGGCACATTCAATCTGGTTTAGCCATTGCTACAGTTTCTGGAAGGGAGAAATAAAAGGAAAACACAGCACATGCCACAAAGAAGGCACGGAAAAACATCTGAATGAGGGAATGAAAGAAGGAATAAGGGGACGGAAATAAGAGTTGATTCAGCAGAGAATGTGGGTGCATTGGGAGTGGTTGTCATTATAAGCAGAGCAGTGAACTCTAGACCATAAGGCAAATATTTTAGAGTAAAAAAAAGCTGGCCTCTTGAAGCAAGGTATCAGGAAAAATTAGTAGCCTTGAATTTTGTGCTGAAGGCCTTACAACCCCTGTGAAGAGTTTATTTTTCCTCTTTTTTGAATCTGCAGTTGTTTGACTCAGGCCTGATTATCCCAGATTGCCATCATAGCTGTGGGGTGGTTCAGACAAATTTTTTCTGGGTGGAAAATTAGGGTTTAGAACAGCTAGCTCTTGTTAATACAGGAGGAGTCACATGATAGAAACAGTTTAAAACATGTTTGAGGAGTAAGTGGTGTGAATGCTGTGGAAGGAGGGATGGGAAAGCACTCATTATTCGGTCCTTTCCTAGTAAATATAGAGACATGGGTTTGATTTTCCAGTTCCTTTAGGGAAGCTTGTTAATCTCTTTGAGTTTTAGTTTCCTCATTTATAAAATGGCAAGAACAATTACTACATATACTTTGGGAGGCTGACATGGGAAAATTGCTGGAGGCCTAAAGTTTGACAACAGCCTGTACTAGATCCTGTCTCAACAAAAATAAAATAACTTAGCCAGGTGTGGTGATGCGTTCCTGTAGTCCCAGCTACTTGGGAGGCTGAGGTGGGAGGATTGCTCAAGCCCAGAAGTTCAAGGCTGCAGTGAGCCATGACTTGGCCACTACACTCTAGCCTGGGTGACAAGAGTGAGACACCGACTCACAAACAAACAAACAAAAAACTCTTCTAGAGGGCTATCTATAGACAGGAGCTTACAGATTAAATACAGTTTATTATTTCACTATTTTATATGCTCATTTTAATGGTTCTTTCAAAGGGATTTGGTACCATATGTGTTTGCATGTGCACAGATGCATTTATGTGCAATTTTAATTAACAAATATTATCAGCATGGCATACAGAGGAATACAGAGGCTAATAAAACAAGTTGTTAACTACTACAAATATGCTGTAATAAATGTCCTAAATCATATTTCATTATACACATGTTCAGGAGTTTTTCTCTGGTATATGTCTAGAACTGAAATTACTGGGTTGTAGAGTATGTGCACCTTCAACTTTACTAAATCTTACTAAACTGATATCAAAATGGCTGTAACAGTTGACACTCTCCTCAGTAATGCATGAGAATTCTTGTTGTTCTACATTCTAATACTAATATTTGTAGATGTTTACATGTTGCCAAACTGATGAGTATGAAGTGGTATCTAAATGTTTTAATCTGCATTCCTGAATTAATTGTTGTTGGGAGAGTTCTTGAAAGGTCTCTCACATTTCTGCACGTCTTACGTACAAAGGTACATAAGGTACAAAGATATGTAAGATGTGCAGAAGACATAAGACAGCTTCTGTTCTAGACTGTTTCAAGGATGTTTGTGTAAAGAAAAGATTTGACAACAGAGATAGTGTTTCTTTCCAGAGCGGAGGGCAGGTATGCTTACCATCCAGAATAATAAACATAATACCTCCTCCTGAGCAAAGGTTTGCTTGTGGCCCATTATAAAAGAGTAGAGTTCCGTAAGATCAGGATTCCTAAGCCATGACACACGGTGTGTGCGGTATCTACCTAGGCCTCTCTGTATTGCTCTGGTGGGAATTTGGAGGCAAGAAATGATGAAAACATGAAGCTCAGGCTGCTTGCTGTGCCATGAATAATAAAGTCTTTTGTCTCTGATCCAAGAGTCTTGTCTTTTGCCAGCAACCATGAAACTGTGTCAGGGTAACTTGTTAGTGTGTAAATAGGGTGCAATTTCAGACTATTCATAGTTCTTTTTTATTTTTTTGAGATAGGGTCTTACTCTGTCAACCAGGCTGGAGTGCAGTGGCATGATCATGACTCACTGCAGCCTTCAATTCCTGGATTCAAGTGATTATCCTGCCTCAGCCTCCCAGGTAGTTGGGACCACATTTGTCCAGGACAGCCTTAGCAAAAGGTAGCTGGAGGCAAGGTGGAAAATGTTTGTTCTGCTTCTACCAGGAAGCAAGCCCTCTGACGGGGAGCTGGGAGGAGAGGGAGCTCTGCGTTCCTGGCTACAGCCTTGTGGAGTGGAGTCTCCACATTGCTGAGCTGGCAAGAAGGAAAGGAGGGAGTGATCTTGGCTCAAATACCACAGAGTTTTCCTTCTTACTAAATTTTTGTAGATTCTCTTGAATAGATGTCTCTTCATTTGCTTTTTGTCCTTAATACCATTTCCAGAAGCTATAAATGTCTATAGTTTTGAAATTAATTTTCACCGGTTTGACAAGGGAGCATGTCAGTGAAGCTTCTGATATTGTCATGATGGAATTCAGTTCTCTGTCTTCATTATGATAGCTGTAAAATAACATCTTGATATTTGGAAGAGCAAGTCCCTCTTTCTTTTCTTCAAACTGCCTTAGATACTCCTGGCTCCTTTATCTTCCATATGAAGTTTAGGACAAGCTTGTTAAATTCCACAAAGTATTTGCTGAAAAATTCTTATGAAAATTCTCTGAATTTGTACTTTGTGTTGGCAGAAATGATCATTATGAAATTGAGTCTTCCCATTTCATTAACATGGATTATTTCTCCTTCTACTTAGTTCCTTTAAAAATGTCTTTTAAAAAATTACATTTTTTTCTATGAAGGTTTTACATGCCTTTTGTTAGGGTAAGTCCTAAGACTTTGTTGCTGTTGTAAATAATATTTAAAACAATTTTTAAATTTTTTTTACCTTTTTATACTAATGTTTAAGAGTGAACTTTAAGAAACTAATGCATTTACCATCCTTGCTAAATTGTATAATTAGTTTTAATAATTTGTAGAGTTTCCTGGCTTTCTATGTAGCTAATTGTACTGAGAATGACGATGATTTTGTTTTATCCATCTCACGTACCTTTTATTTATTTTTTCATTTTGTGTTATCTACAATTCTAATACAGTATTGAAGATAAATAGTTATGGTATGCATGCTTTTCTTGTTTCTGATTTTAAAGAAAATGCCCCAAACATTCCATCTTTAATAATAGTGCTTGCTCTGGGTTTTTGATAAGAAAGTTAATCAGGCCATAGAAGTCTCCTTCTATTCCTAGTTTAAGAGCTTTTATCATAAGAAGAATGAGCTAACATTCATTGAGTATATACCAGGTGTCAGACATTGTTATAAGCACTTTACAAAGATTAACTCATAACAAATCTCTGAGGTTACTATTCCCTATTTCATCATGAGTAAACTGAGGTACAGTGTGAGTTAAGTATTTTGTCCCAGGTCAGTGGTAGAACTAGAATTTGAACCTAGAAGTCTGGCTTAAGAGCACAGGGTCTTAACTACTTTTCTCTACAGCTTTTGAGTGCTGAACGTCTCCAGTGCTTTTTTTCTGCATTTGATTTGATTTTTTTAACCTGATTTGCTGATGTAGAAGGCTACATTAATAGATTTTTTTAAATGTTAAGTCATTCTTGAATTCCTGGGATAAGCTCAATTTGGTTAGCACATATATCTTTCTTTCCTTTAAAAATACACGGATGGATTTCATTTGCTAATATTTTATTTAGGATTTGTGCATATGCTCAAAAGTGAGACTGACTCACAATTTTCTTTTCGTCTGCTGGTTTTGGTACCCAGGTTATGCTAGATAAACTCATAAGTGAGTTAGGGCTGGCAGTTGGTGACAGACATTTCAACCTCAATTATTAGGCTGACATACATAGGTAGTATAACAGCCAGTCCAATACGTTAAAACTCCTAGACAGCACAGCGAGGTTTCTCCAGAATCATCCCTCCAGAATGATTTTGCTTTTGTTTCCACCAAGCATCCCAGAGACACTATCAGCTTGAAATCCCTTAGCTGATTTCTAAGCTTGGGATTTTTGAACACTTAAGAAGTGGAAATTTAAAGTCCAAGCAGTGAAAAAAGTGTCCAGGGTCATCTGAACCACTTGTTACTGAATGGCAGTCTAAGATTGCCAAGACTGGCAAATGTATTCCCTCCCAAAAGGGCAGAAACACTTAATTTATTTTAAATGTGACCATAAGAATTTTAATATATCTTCAACTTACTAAGTTATTAATACATTTTTTTATTTTAGATGGAGTCTCAGTTTGTCGCCCAGGCTGGAGTGCACTGGTGTGATCTCGGCTCACTGCAACCCCCACCTCCCAGATTGAAGTGATTCTACCACCTCAGCCTCCTGAGTAGCTGGGATTACAGGTGCTTGCTACCATGCCTGGTGAATTTTTACATTTTTAGTAGAGACAGGGTTTCATTTTTTTTTTTTTAGATGAAGTCTCAGCTTGTCGCCCAGGTTGGAGTGCACTCGTGTGATCTCGGCTCACTGCAACCCCCACCTCCAAGATTCAAGTGATTCTACTGCCTCAGCCTCCTGAGTAGCTGGGATTACAGGCGCCTGCCACCATGCCTGGCTAATTTTTATATTTTTAGTAGAGACAGGTTTTGTTGGCCAGGCTGGTCTAGAACTACCAACCTCAAGTGATCCGCCCATCTTGGCCTCCCAAAGTGCTGGGATTACAGGCATGAGCCACCGCGCCCAGCCCAATACATTTTTTAAACAAAAAATTATTGTATCTCTGCTAGCTGCCAGATACTCTTCTAAGCACTATGTAAGAATAAAGTTGAAAACAAATAAAGAAGATGTTCAAATATGATAATTTAGTAATGTAGAAACTTCTTACCATAATGTAGAGCTGTTTGGCCTTCGTTATCCTATAAAATAAACAAATAATACATTTTAGAAGTCTAAGTAATTGCAAAAGTATGAAAGCACATAAACTATAGCAAATTTATCTAATATACCCAGTTCCATAGGTTTATCAGACTTAAAGTCAGTTGTCTGAGCCTCACAGTAACTTTTGACCAAGCTCACCACCTTGAAGAATAAAGAATGATAACTTGTGCACTGTGGCAGATACGTGCCTGTAATTCCAGCTACTCAGGAGGCTGAGGCAGGAGAATTGCCTGAACCCAGGAGGCGGAGGTTGCGGTGCGCCGAGATTTTGCCATTACACTCCAGCCTGGTAACAAGAGCAAAACTCCATCTCAGTTTTTTTTTTTTTCCCTAAACTTGTCCCCAAATCTATCGAGTGAATCTGTGATTTTCAAAGACTCACAAATTCCAGGCTAATAACATTAGGTTTCCTAACCAGATCAAGTATGATAAAGTAATGTGATTTCAAAGCATACAAAATCCCAGAAGTTTTTAAGGAAGCCAAAAATTACCATAGAATACTTAGGATATTCCAACATTTCAGTTAATTATTTTCCTTTAAAACCAAGAAAACTATATATACTACTCATTGTAGCACAGTTGAGTATTTTTTAGCAATGCCACCTCTTAAATTAAGAGCAGCTAGTCACATTACTGGAATAACAAATAATCAGTTCAAGTACACAAGTGAAAAGCAGAATTCAGTAATTTTTTTTTTTTTTTTTTTTGAGACGGAGTTTCGCTCTTGTTACCCAGGCTGGAGTGCAATGGTGCGATCTCGGCTCACCGCAACCTCCGCCTCCTGGGTTCAAGCAATTCTCCTGCCTCAGCCTCCTGAGTAGATGGGATTACAGGCACGCGCCACCATGCCCAGCTAATTTTTTGTATTTTTAGTAGAGACGGAGTTTCACCATGTCGACAGGGATGGTCTCGATCTCTTGACCTCGTGATCCACCTGCCTCGGCCTCCCAAAGTGCCGGGATTACAGGCGTGAGCCACCGCGCCTGGCCCAAATTCAATAATTTCATAAGCACTTTGTAATATGCATGGCCATTATGTCCCGATAATTAAGAATAAATGTGAAACTGCCACTATGAATAACTTGGAAAGGGTAATGTTATCCCAGTCAAACTATTCTTGGGTACCCATATCTGCTTCCTAACAGATGAATGTAGGGGTAGAGGTTAGCACCAAAACTTTTTGGCAATGGGTCTCCCTATTAATCTCCTAGAAAGAAAAGCAGGAAGTTGCCATAGATAACTTATTTTATGGTTCAGATAGGTAGTAATAAAAAGGTCATGGCAGGGGGCAACCTTGAGACAATGTAGTTCATTTTCCTACTATGGAATGAATTGGATTTGGAGGTAAGGTGCTTATTACATGGGTGAGAGGAGATATGAAAGAAGTAATTTTGGCAGGGAGTCTGGTAGAGTACACTTGGCTAAGGTACAACTATGGCTAAGTTTGGGATATCCAGGAAGCAACATAAAGATAATAAACTCTAAGAAAAGTAAAAGATGGAAACAGCATGCAAAAGTCAGGAAGCACAGAAGATCATTTTTACCTACTTTTTTTTTTGTCTTTTTAGATATAACCTTTATCTTGTTCCCCTTTGATTTGCCCTGTCCTTGAGATTAAGGACAAGTCGGGGAAGAGAGGTAAGGCAGCTATAGTGAATAGTACCTGAGTGATTCTTATGTAGGGCAACCTGACAATGTGAAGTTCTGCTCCAGAGAATGTTGTCTTGCTTGGCAAAGCTAAGGGCAATTTAGAAAGAACAGTACTGACCATTGTGGCTTAAGACTCATATCTGTATTTACCCGTTTCCAATGTTAATCAATAAAAGTGTGTGTGTGTGTGTGTGTGTGTGTGTGTGTGTACACACACATGCAAACACCTGATGGGTTTATACATTCACATTTAAATGTGAATTTAAATTTATAGTTTAAATGTGAATATCATGCATTAGGAAATAATTTCAGAAAGAGCTTAATCTACTGCAATTTCAGGATTCTACTTATGCATCCATCATGCAAGGTTGTATTTCCCACAGATATCCATCTTTAGACAGCACTGTTCTTTCACTATTGTGCATAACTCTCATGTTTAATTACTCTGTTCATATATACTCAAAGTTAATTCCTTTCCATTTCTAATCCTTCATTTTCACGAAGGAGGTGGAAGGGTAATTTCTTTTAATCACTTTTACCAGTGAATACTAAATCTATATATCTCTAGCTCAATTTTTAATTAATTAAACATAGTTACAATTATGTTCCAGTCACTGTTCTAGGTACTGGAAACACAGAGATAAATGAAACAGAGGTCTCTAATGTTATAAACCTTTTATTATAGTGGCTAGGGAATCAGCAAGCAAATTAATACATTTAATAATAGGCAGTGATGAGTATGTTGGAAAAGAATCAAAGCCGAGTAAGAGATGAGATTGGTGTGGGGTGCTGTTTTAGATAGAAAGGACAGAGGACTCTATAAGATGGTATGTTTTCAGAGAACTGAGGAAGACACTAAGGTGGTCATGCAACCCCAAATGGGCAAATCACACTTGTCGTCTTCCTTGTCTGAAAGTAAGCATATTACTCAAGCCAAGCCAATTAGTTTTCTTTCAAAATTTTTCAAAATGGAGCTAAGGGATAGAAGTGTGTGCACACAGAAGGTTCTTTCCTCTCTGATCAAAAGTAAATGGTGCAACCCTATAAATATGTACAAATATTATATGTCAATTTAAAAAAAGAGAGTGTGGTCACAGAAGCTAGACACGGAAGGACAAATACTGTATAATTCCATTTACATGAGATACCTAGAGTAGCCAAATTCATAGGCACATGAAATAGAATAGCTGTTACCTCCCAGGGGCTGGGAGGAGGGGAGCATGGGGAGTTCTTGCCTAATGGGTACAGAGTTTCAGTTTGGGATGCTGGAAAAGTTCTGGAGATAAATAGGGGTGATAACTGCATAATAATGTGAATGTACTTAATGCTATTGAACTGTACATGTAAAAAATGGTTAAAATGGTAAATTCCACATGTATTTTACCACAATAAAAAAAAGAAAATTAGAAAAAGGTATGAGCCCAAAACTGCAAGTGGCAATGTTCTCTACTTTTGGGGGAAAATCAATCTGCAGTAGAAGGAAGTAAGTATTCACAAAGAAAAAAGTAGTGAGAGATGGAGAGAGAATGAGGTTCTCTGGATCTTGTCATTTAAATAATATTTTTCTTGGTCAGGTAAGCCAGTAACAGCAAAATACTCCCTAGACAAATGTGATCTTTTTGTCACTTGCAAACAAGAGTCCTGACTAACACAGAATGTAAGGCATTTTATGCACCAATTCTTGCTCATCTGTCTCCCAATTCCTTCTCTTCCCAATTTTGTGACTGTCAATTCCGAATAAGAATACTTATCTGGGGCCTTGAGCAGTGGCTCCCACCTATAATCCTAGCACTTTGCGAGGCCAAGGTGGGTGGATTGCTTGAGTTCAACAGTTCAAGACCAGCCTGGGCAACATGGTGAAAGGTGAAACCCTGTCTCTACTGAAACACAAAAAAATTAGCCAGGCATTGTAGTGTGCACCTGTAGTCCCAGCTACTTGGGAGGCTGGGGCAGAATTGCTTAAACTTGGGAGGTGGAGGCTGCAGTGAGCTGAGATGGTGCCACTGCACTTCAGCCTGGCTGACAGAGCAACACCAACTCAAAAAAACAAAACAAAACAAACACACAAAAAACTTATTTGGACTCCTGTAGCTGTAAATGCTCCTTGCTCTACTTGGAAACTGTCCTTCAACATTTTAAAGATAGAATCTCACTCTTTTCTCATATTAAAAAATCTCTTTGATATATTTGAGCATGGGACTTAATGACTAAAACACCAACAGCAATGGCAACGGAAGCCAAAATAGACAAATGGGATCTAATTAAACTTAAGAGCTTCTACACAGCAAAAGAAACTATCAATAGAATGAACCGGCAATCAACAGAATGTGAAACAATTTTTGCAATCTACCCATCTGACAAAGGGCTAATATCCAGAATCTACGGAGAACTTAAACAAATTTACAAAAAAACCCGAAAAACAAAAAACAACCCCATCAAAAAGTGGGCAAAGGATATGAACAGTCACTTTTCAAAAGAAGACATTTACGCAGCCAACAAACATATGGAAAAAGCTCATCATCACTGGTCATTAGAGAAATGCAAATCAAAATCACATTGAGATACCACCTCACGCCAGGTAGAATGGTGATCATTAAAAAATAAGGAGACAACAGATGCTGGAGAGGACGTGGAGAAATAGGAATGCTTTTACACTGTTGGTGGGAGTGTAAATTAATTCAACCGTTGTGGAAGACAGTGTGGCAACTCTTCAAGGATCTAGAAATAGAAATACCATTTGACCCAGCAATCCCATTACTGGGTATATACCCAAAGGATTATAAATCATTCTGTTATAAAGACACATGCACACGTGATTATCGTGGCATTGTTCACAACAGCAAAGACTTGGAACCAACCCAAATGCCCATCAATGATAGACTGGATAAAGAAAATGTGGCATATATACACCATGGAATACTATGCAGCCATAAAAAGGATGAGTTCATGTCCTTTGCAGGGATATGGATAGGAAACTGGAAACCATCATTCTCAGCAAACTGACAAGAACAGAAAACCAAACACTGCATGTTCTCACTCATAAGTGGGTGTTGAACAATGAGAACACAAGGACACAGGGAGGGGAACACACCACACACTGGGGCCTGGAAGGTGGGGGAGGAATAGCTGGGGATGGGGGGATTGGAGAGAGATAGTGTTAGAAATATCTAGTGTAGATGACAGGGCGATTAGATACAGCAAACCACCACCACGGCACATGTATACCTATGTAACAAAACTGCATGATCTGCACATGTACCCCAGAACTTAAAGTATAATAAATAAATTAAAGAAAAATTAAATTGACTTATTTCGTAATCCCTGTATTT